GTGAAGCTGCGTTTAAAAGCACCTGGAGTACACTTGTTTCTGGCTGTTAGAGTGATGGGGTGGGGGGGGGAGGGGAGATGGAGGACACGTAGTTTATTTTCTGATCATACGATATCGTCCATTAAAAGTGTCGTCAGCCTTTCAAATCGTTCTCATTTTCCGTGCAGAAGATAGATCATGTTATGGAAAAATTTTAATATGCCCTGATCATGCTGTTTATTATTCGGAATCAGTCCTTCGTGGACACGCAACCTTTGCAACTGGATTTTTTGCTAGGCTGTTATTCTCCTAAAAATTATGAAGAATTAATTTTTATATCTATTGTTTCCATGGCATAGTTGACTGTTTTTTGGATTTGCCCAGACTTGGACACAGATAGTTTTTGATTTACAAACAAGCACCAGTTTTCAATGCCGCTGATCGTCGTGCCACACACGCATCTCTGGATTCACTCGAAGTAACCACATCGATTTCTGACTCTCAGTAGCCTAAGAAACAGTTTTGACATTACCACTTTTCCGTGGTATGTTGGGACGTGCACTACAGTACCGCAAAAGACATGCTGACCTACAAAATTGAAAATAGGCTTTGTTAGCAAAACCCAGAATGTTACGAGTTTTTCTCCAGTTTGCGTTATCGCTTGGCATGGTAAACTCTGCAGAATCAATATTAATTTGCAACCACTGCATGCAGATATGCTGCAGTGTATACCTCATTGCTGCCAGAGCCCAAGCTTATGCCGATGAACTTACCGTAACCTTGAATATACAGATATCAGTGAAAAAGCTGAGGTATAAGAGTAGGCTTGTGATAATCTTTACAACTGCTACATTACTAGCTGATCTTAGCCGTCAATCGATGTCTGTCCATATCGGCATAGACGGATTGCCACTGTGAATTGCTATTGCTGTGGTCATCATTAGCTGGAGTATTGGGATCAAGGACAGAATACCCAGTTAATGATGCCTGACGCTTCTCAGAATGGTTTACTCGATGTTGGTTACTGTGGTAAGACCAATTTCCTTATTGCAAGTAACTCCGTCCCATCAGCTGCTTTGGCATGCGATATTGGCCTCCAACAGGCGGCCGTTTTCAATGGCTTTGGATACGACTCGATTCTCTCTTCGGATGGTCAAATCACGACAGATACCACTTCCTGATTTCTTCGGACAGAATTCCCAGGCCGGTCGTTTCTGTGATCTTTTTGCTCTCCCTTCAATGGAACCCTCGCACTTTCAGAATGTTATGCAAATGATGCTACTGAAGAGTGAAGAGTGTCTTACATCTTTCAACGGAAGTATTAAGGATGTATAATTCAAAGCTGTAAATTAGGAATTAGAAAACGGCAGCTTTCATCAATATGGTGATCTTTGTTGTAGTCCAGATAGATCGGCTTTGTCACACATTAGAAAGTCACTCAAAGTTCACAGAAGCCTCCCCTCCGTGCCCGTTCTTCTTCCACATCACAGCTTCAATCTTTTGCCAGTACGAAGCCGAGTACTTTACATTTTCGATTTACTCGATGGTCATTCCACTCCACTGAATCTTTGGGTCGTTAGTAGAGTCAAATACTTGCAAGATCTTCGTTCTGGTGGGGTCAACTTCTGGGCCTACGGTCGAGACCACTTTGTACCCTTCTCGCCAGTAAGGCTTCGGTGGAGTCACTCAGCGGTAAATTGTCCTCAGCGTACTCGAGATCTCTAATGAGTACTGCTGGGTATTTTCGGCTGAATCGTCGTCTTATCGCAAATCCCTCCTCATTGTTGGAAACGACTTTCCTCTACATCACGCAATCCAGCTTCACGTTGAATAATAGAAATGAAAGC